CATGTGTAGTGTTGCTGCGTGTTGTTCTAAGGTGCATTTAAAACAAGGGAGAGCATGGTGCTGCTGCCAGAGAGCAGCAGGTGTTAGCACGGCCCCTCCCGAGAACCCTCAATGTCTACATGGATTTAAAATTGAGAGGTGGGCACCGGCGCCAGAGATGGGGTTGAATACACAGACCATCCACTGGACGCCGTTAACGTGCCCACCCTCAAGGCCCTATATGTATGTGTTATGAGAGTGTGAGTAATGTGGATGTCTAAGTTGTGGAATAAAATTGAGGCACAGGTGGCCAGAAGGGGACTTTATCCTTGGTTCTTTGAAGCGTTTTTAAGCTGATACGCGGGGGTTTATCTTTCCAAAGGAAAAGTTTTAAAACGAGATAGAAAAAAAATTGTGAAAAAGAAACAATAGAATGAATATATAATAATATATTTTTGCGCATTAGCTTAGCTTATCATTAGCCTATATCACTAGAATTTTCACTTTCCCCTCAACATTCATACTAAATGCACAGTGAAAGTCAATACACTGACACCTATGTTCAGAGTGAATCCCCTGACCGGCTGGGTGGTATTTCCAGCCTCCCTCTCCAGTTCACAGGCAAAATGTGTCAGTCTGCTGCCTCTGTGTCCAGAATAGATCTGTGCCAAATCATAGACCCCTCCTTAACAGCAGCACTGCAGTCACAGCAGATCCCATGCAACATGTCTCTGCTTCCTCAGCTGCTCTTTCCAAGCTTCTCTGTCATTTTCCTCAACTTGGCTTGTTTCTGCTGAAGTCTGTGGGATAAATGAAAGATTAATTACCAGCTACAAGAGTCAAATGCCTGAACAGGAATGGATGAACATGGTGAAATGTGGGCTGGGGAGGTATGACAAACGCTTTCTGCAACTGTGCAGCTCCTGTTCTTTCAATTACTACCATTACTGCAAGCTAACATCCAGCTGTGACTGCTGCAACCAAACAACAGGTAATAACCTGCAGTTATTAGGATGTATACAATTAAGCATGTTTAGATATTTAAGTTGGCATATAATTGCATATTTATTCTGGGCATTTCTTTCCTCTGTTCATGTTAACTGTCACTTTTTATGTATTTATTAATTATCTTTGTAATCAAATGAAGGCTACAAATAACCACAAAGATGCTGTTCCAGAAACATCCTGTCATATTCAATTTTCCCACAGAATAAATGTACATATTTTCTTCACTTGCTCCACAATCCAAAAACCAACTACGGCCTCGTGCCTATAGAAAGCCCTGACATGTTATGTTTCTTCCATCTGTCAACAGGGATATTTGGCCAGCGTCTAGAGGACACAGTGCAGTACGAGAAGAAGTTTGGCCCCCGCCTTGCACCCCTGCTGGTTGAGCAGTGTGTGGACTTTATCAGAGAGAGGGGTCTGGATGAGGAAGGTCTCTTTCGAATGCCAGGACAGGCCAACCTGGTCAGGGAGCTGCAGGAGGCCTTCGACTGTGGGGACAAGCCCCTGTTTGACAGGTGGGTGAGAGGATGAAATGGGAAAATTCACTTTGCCAAAGACTTTTATGATCATCACTGATTTGAATTCTACTGAATCATCTTTCTTTCTGACTTGCAGTAACACAGACGTCCACACAGTGGCATCCTTGCTGAAGTTGTACCTGCGAGAGCTGCCTGAACCAGTTATCCCCTTCTCCAAATATGAAGACTTTCTAACCTGTGCGCAGCTTTTGGCCAAAGATGAGGAGAAGGTATGTGCTGTTTACCTTTGGTGTGAGGACTTTGAGTGGTACTGTGAGTAGAATAAGGATGATTTGTCTCATATCAGGGAGTCCAGGAGCTTGGAAAGCAAGTTAGCACTCTACCTCTACCGAACTACAACCTCCTCAAGTACATATGCAAGTGAGTGACTTCACCCGTTAGGTTGAGAACTTAGGCTTTTGTAGCCTAATCAGTTTTTTACTCTAGTTTTTCACTATATCTCTCCTTAGATTCCTTGATGAGGTCCAGTCCCACTGTAATGAGAACAAGATGAGTGTCCAGAACCTTGCCACAGTATTTGGACCTAACATCCTTAGACCGAAGATGGAGGACCCAGTCACTATCATGGAAGGTACAGAAAATCAATGACAATCAAATAAGGTTCTGTTTTTCTGTAATTTATTTATTAAAAATGATAGTTTAGAATAAAACTAAAAAAGTTATACCGACACCGGCTGAATGTGATTTGTATTGTCTAGGAACTTCTCTTGTCCAGCACCTGATGACAGTCCTCATCAGGGAACACAACCGTTTGTACTCAGGGAGGGAACAGGAGGGGCCAGCTCTACCCCAAACTGAGATCCCCATCCAAGGGCATCATCTCCAACACCGCAGCCTGGGAGCCTGGATCTCTGAAGAGGACCTTCAGAGTTGCCCCGTCTCCAACCCAGACCAAGATCTGCACAGCAGTGCCTCATCCCTGGACGCCAAGCTGTGCGCAGCCGTCAGTCCCACTCAGACCCCTAACCCAAACCCTGGACCAAAACTTGGGTCTTCATCGGGAAAGGGTGAGACGGTAATCAGTCCGAGTAAACAAGCCAAGACCATGCCTTCCTGGAAATATTCCTTCAAAAGCTCTTCAGCGCCTCGTTCCCAGCCGCAAGCTAAGCAAACCAGCAGCAGTGGCTCCGCAGCAGATACAACCAGTCTGTCTTCTGGTGGTGGAGGAGGTGGAAGCGGGGGCAACTGGCTTATGAACGGTTTGTCCTCCTTGAGGGGACACCGGCGCACATCTTCAGGGGAACGGTCCACCCGTGACCGTGACTCCACTGGCTCGTCCCAGAGGCTGTCCACGTATGACAATGTGACCTCCTCCTCTAGCATGGGGAGCGTTCCAAGTGTATCCAGCACACCGTGGTCCACGTCCTCCTGTGAAATATCTGTCCCGGACTCAGCAAGCGAGCCCCCGGTGCACCAGAACTGTGGAGGTGTGGTGGAAGGTGGAGAAAGCCACAGAGAGATTAACAAAGAAAGGGATGGAGGGATGACAACAGACGCGAGCTCCGAGCAGGACAGTTGCGAGGCCATGGAGCTGTGCAGCAGCAGCGCAGCCTGCAGTGAAAATGGAAACGTGGCCACGGCAGCTGGGGTGCCGTCCATTATCATGTCCGAAGATGGAGATGGGGAAAAACTAACACTAAGCAGCCTGGTAGAGGGACTGAAAGACGAGCTGAGAAAACAGAAGACTACATATGAGGCCAGGATCCAAAAGTAAGTCTCTGATGCAGGATCTTTCAAACTTATAATAGTAGTGTCGGTCTTTTATATGGTAAATAGAAAGACATTTGAATGAACTTTATGGTTTTGGATGTCAGGCTTTTATTTCATTAGCACAGAACCAATGGAAGTACTTCAATTACAACCTGCTGTGAGCCCTTTAAAGGGCACTTTTGTATTGCTGTTCTTTACAGTTGGGGGAACACGTCAGGAAGACAGTGAATAAAGACTGAATAAATAAATATGAAATACATCCTGAGATGGAAAAAGTTCCCAGAACAAAAGATTGTATATTTACCATAATTCCAATTACCATTTTTTTATACTAAACCCAAATGGCATGGTTAAAGCACACCTATGCTCAGTTTGTAACACACCAATTTAAGTGTGTTAACACTTAAAATGTTGTTACCTGTAACACTGAAAATGAACTGGTATTTTCAAAAACCTTTCCCTTTTTGCAACTAAAACCTGTCATGGAAATAAATGGCATGTTTTTTAAGACATACACAGAGTGTCACGGCGGGGTGCGCCGGTGTGAAGAAGAGGTAGACCCAGATGCAGACACAGTGGAGACAGAACTAGGTTTCCAAAAATAAAGCGAGCCTTTATTGTGGCTGATGGCATGACAAAAAACACTAGAGAACACTGAAACTGGGAAAACTAAGGAGACTAAGAACACTGTGTAAACTAAAAAGACTATGACACTCTGTGAAAGAACTATGAAAAAACTATGAACACAGAGTAACTAGGCAGGCTATGAAACAGTGAGACAATAACGGAAACTATGAAAAGATGAGGTGAGGATAACAGACGATCTGACACCGACTGAGCAGAAACACACGGATTAAGTACACATAAGGAATGATCAGGGGAAGCGGAATCACATGGGGAAAACAGCTGACAACAATTAACATAATGACAGGACAGGGGACGCGAAGCTAAATACAATAAACAAAAAACACAAGGATCCTTCAAAATAAAACGAGAAACATAGCGAGACCCAGACATGACTCGAACTTGACAAACAAAGAAAACTTGGACATGACACATGACAGATAAGCACACGAAGACTTAACACAAAAAACTTCACACAGGAATGAGACAAATGGGGAGCTTGATAAATCATGAATTAAAACTGTAACCTAGGCATGACAGAATGTAACTAGATAAACTGAAATGAAACTAGACTGAAAAGAATAACAAAACTCAGAATACTGGGTCACATGACCCAGGACCATGACACAGAGGTGCTTTAAGCAACAAACAAAATGTTAAATCATTGGGCTGGAAGCAGAATATTTATATACCTGTGCCCATGCGTCATTATTAGCGTGTCCAAATTCATGGGCTGCATCCTCCTGAGGACCCGGCCTTCGCGGTCTACGTGGGCCGGGTCCTCAGGTTGGGTAAGCCGGAAGTAAACGACTGTGAAATTGGACGGTCTAGCCTTCTGATTAGCGTTACCGCTGTCTCGGTGGAGTTTAATAAACTTGGCCGTCTGCTCCTTGCTATCTAAAATATAACAGGACACTGGCGTAAATCTCACACTTCTGTTTAATCCGTTTTCTGTTTGACGTTTATTCAGCTGTTTGAAAACCAAGGAAGAACCCACCCGGAGGATTAATAAAGTTTTATTTTATCTAATCTAATAACTTTACAACAAATAAAACACTGAAAAAAGCCAAACAATAACATTTTAGGTTGTCTAAGTGACTTATATATTACGTTTAACCTGAGTAGCGAAAGCCTGCGGTGATCTGAAAATGATGTGCCAGGAGTTGTGCCATTCTCTGCGGCTCTAGTGACCCTAGATAGCCAGCTCTTGGCTAGCTATCGAGCTGGTGGATAACAGACGTCTCCGAAAACGTCGAAGCACTTTTGGAAATATGTGATATCTTGATAAACCGAGCAGATATTTGAAGTTTACACACCCACATTCTTGTCTGAAAATATGTTAAAAGTTTATTTTGTGACCCAGAAAGATTAATAAGAGTAATTTTAAACTGGAAACTGGAGTTTGGCTGGGCCGCGCTATGAATTCTGGGATATGGTGGGCCACGAAGGACACACCCGACCCATCCTTCAAATTTGGGGAAAAGGAGGACGCATTTGTCGGCTGCATTCGGAGGAGTCTACGAATTTGGACAGCCTTCGCGTCGCTGTGACGTAATCGGTCTACAAATGCGTCCTCAGGAGGATGCAGCCCATGAATTTGGACACATTGTTTGGTCTATAATTTTAGTCTGTTGTTAGGTGGTTGCATGGCAACATGATGACATCATAATATATTATATATAATTAAAGCTGGATATAAAGGAAATTTTATCGTTGCAAAATTAAAGTTATACAATGCTCTTAAAAGGCATTAGAGGTGCATAAATGCTGCAAATGGGTCATTATAGCCCTTGGTAGGTGTTGGCTAGGCAACGTGATGATGTTATTATCTACTATAGATAAGAACTATAAGCTATACCTGTGTGCCACTTTTGGTAGCTCAGCTCCAGATAGTGTTGGAAATGTTTGCAGAAAACTGATAGAGATTATATTATGCAAGTAAGACATATATATATGTAGAGAGAGAGATAGCTAACAGCGGTTCTTGCAGGGCAGATTTGTTTTATTTCCTCCAATGCCAAGAATATCACATTAGTATTAATCTGGGCACACCGGTCAGACAAAATGTTGGGAAGGTAGGAAGTTGTTTGAAATGTGCTTTACTGGGTGGTTCAGCCAAACAGAAAAAAGGCAAATGTCCGTGACCTTTTCTGTGTGTATTGTGCTTCCACACAGATTGGAAGAGTCTAGTGCTGCTCTGTGTGCCCAGATGGAGCGTTTGGAACAGGAGATGGAGCAGGAGAGGAAGAAGCAGCGCATGCTGGAGATAAAACTCAGAAACTCTGAGCGGGCACGGGAGGATGCGGAGAATCGCAACCGCCTCTTGGAAAAGGAAATGGAGGATTTTTTTGCCACGCTGGGCGATCTGGCCCTTGGTGCAAGGACTAGTGACCTTTGATACACGGCCTCTCATCTGTCTTGGGGTGGGGGTGGGGGGGGACATTTTGTGGTATGGGTCCTAACTCAAAATAAGACTGAAAATAGAAAATAAAGAAAACCTACTTGTGCACATTCAGGAAACGTTAAAAAGATGCGTAGAGATCAGATAGAAAATTCTGAAGGAAATAAACTTTGACTGTTTTCTTTCTGAGGATTATCTCTACTAAACAGCAAGTGGTCTTGATTTTGTTACGCATGCTTCAAACTCATTTTAAAAAGATGGCCCTCCTGTGATTACTGCAGAGGTTTGTCTTACAAATGGAGTTCAGGTGCCTGGATATGAATGGTGGAACATAATGTAACAATTTATGAAGTGGATAGCACTGACTTCTTTAACCACTACTTTAAAAGGACAATAACTGAATGGATTTTGTGTTAAAAGTGTGCAACTTAAGACAGCGGACTGCTGTCTATCTGTATGGGATCTTAAAGCAGTAGCTTCACATTTTGGGAAATAGACTTATTTGCTGTCTTGCAGAGTTAGATGAGAAGTGTGAAACCAATCTCATGCCTGTATGTCAAAGAAGGCGCCAAAGCTAATAGCCATTGAGCCTAGCTTAGGGGCACAAACACGAGGCTCTAGAACCATTGGTAAAGAGCCATCTTTTTAAGAAGTTTTTTTAAGCTATTAGGCTATTGATTATCAAATGCAAAAGCCTACTGGGCTTATGAACACAGCTTCATAGTGATTGTTTCAAAGTAGGCGTAAACATGTTAATAGGTAGCTAAGACATAAATAGCTAATACCTTAGAGATATTTTCTTACACTTCACAGTTATTCTGCTTTGTTGATGATTTTAAAAAAGGGAAAGTAATTAGTTTTTGTTAGATCAAAATATCATTTTAGTAATAAAAACTTAAAACCAACAAAGAATCATTAATAGACAAAAGCTGTTATGCATGGTATGGTAAAAGACTTTAATTTACACCTGTTAGTAATAAGTCATTATACACCTAACAGGTGGTGTTTCCTACGGAGCCCCGCAGGGGACATGGGAGAAAAAAAAATTAAGACGGACTTTTGCGAGATCTCGCAAAACAAACTCGGGATCTCGCAAAAGTTTTGTGAGATCTCGCAAAAGTTTTAGCCGCATTCTTCGGACGCCGGCTCGAAGCCGACCGGGAGGTCGAGGCACGATGTGCCGGGAAAGCGGTGTTCCTCCCGGCTGTAGTAGGTCTCGACCTCCCGTTAGCTCGAAGCTTTGCGAGATCTCCAAAAGTTTTGCGAGATCCCGAGTTTGTTTTGCGAGATCTCGCAAAAGTCCGTCTTAATTTTTTTTTCTCCCATGTCTCCCTGCGGGGCTCCGTATTCCTTCATCATACACCTCAAAAAGCATTTTGGCCCCATACATAGATTTTTTGGTCAGAAATTGCTAGAAATGGCTCGTTTGATAAAGGTAGCTAACCAATTAGCCTAGCGTAACACAAGTTAAAATGGTGGCCTAGTACTGTTTATATATAAAAACTTCACTGACACTTGCAAAGCTAATTGATTAACATATATAATTTCATTTTCTGGGCACTTAAAAACTGAAATATTAAGAAAATATTAGGTTGTGGTTTTCATGCTAACCCGAGGTAGCTATGTCTAGCGTTAGTATGCATAATGATATTGGACTTTTTAGCTAAAACTTGGCAAGAAAGCAAATACACTTCCCAAAATGTCAAACAGTGTCTTATACTGCAGGGTCAGTTTAGGCTGTAGAGGAAGCTGGCAAACGCTTTTCTGTTTCAGAATTTGAAAATGTTAGTTTCTAAAAAAGAACTGTAACTTTTACAAATTGACCCTTTTTAAATATCATTTTAATCTTTTAAACACCAGACACTGAAATTATACTAGGTTAGTGCTAGCCAAAATCCCATTCATGTACTGTATATCTTCAAATCTGGGCAAATGAAAGTTTTTGAGTAGCTTATAACTTCTAATTACGAGTATTTTGTACTATTTGGGTAAACTGACTCTTTAACTACAGTGGTAGCTTTAGCAGGTTCAATTTGTATATTGCAACACAAAGGCAGGTTTAAGAAAACTACTCTTTCCAAACAGTTTCTTTTCAGAGGGGGAAAAAAAAGCAAACGCATTAACAGATGGGACTTCTGCCATAGCTCTTCTTTATCCTCAGGCTCTTCCAGTGCCTCTCGTCACCATCGACATGGTTCCCGAACTCATTTGATGGCGAAGCCTCAATCTTTGGTTCGCTCTGATCCTCACTGATGTCAACATACCTTTAATGTACAGATAATATAACAGGTTCTTTTCAGCTTAGCACACGGGATATGTGCCTCAGTACATGAAGGCCATTTACAGTACACAGTAAAATACCAAAGCTAGACCGCCTCAGTTCGCTCACGAGAGATCAGAATGGCCTGCCTGGAAGCCATGTTGATTTTGGCACACGAAGCTGAACACTGCCCTCAAAGAAACAATGGAGTTTCCTGGTTGTGCCTTCAGGGAAGTGTTCTGAACTAGGAAAAATGAAGTGTTGCTTGCTTGTCCACAGATGTGGTGCATATACTTCTCCATAATAGCTTTTTTAAAAGACATATGGAATAAACTGCTGATGCTGATGAGTCCCTCGAAGGTGCCAATTCTTGTGAAAGTGAATTGTGAATTGAATGGAAGTTTTGCATTAAGAATGTATCTTTATAGTGAATGTAATGTGTCGTTGATCAAACCAGCCCGATAGAAAATTGTAAACAATAGAGAAAGCATCAAACTCACTGTAACACTCAAATGTCTGCTCCCAAGATGAGTGAGTACTACTGAGTTTTGTGAGAACGTTATCTTCAGCAGCTTACCGTTAATCAGAACATCGAGAGGTGTAACTAGTAACAGTCAATCCCTGAAGGGCCCCTTAGGCAGTACAATTATATGTGAAAGCGTGCTTTTGGTTGGGCAATGTGACCACTTTTTAAAGAGCTAAAATACAGTGTTGTTATATTGACTTCATTTGCACATGTACACGCTGGTCTAACTCTTGATTCCAACAGCCTTTTACTTTTCTCCTATGTATGTCTCATGACGAAGGTTAAATGTTTGTTATTGCTCTGCTGATCATCTATGGTGCTTATTTATTATGGATTTCCACTATTGTAACAAATGGCCATGTATGGAAATAAAGGTGACAAGGATCACACACATGACGGTGATGAACCTGACCTACTGGAGTTTCTGATCTGTTAGCGTTACAGGTGATAACTTAGCACTCCACCTTCTGTTCAAATATGGCCACTTTCGGCCCCAGAATCAAAATGAGTGTGGTCAAATCCTGACACTGGCCTCCAATTTTATATACAGTCTAAAGCAGCGGTCCCCAACCTTTTTTGCGCCACGGACCGGTTTATGTCCGACAATATTTTCACGGATCGGCCTTAAGGTGTCGCGATAAATACAACAAAATAAAACTAGTACTGGTACCAAAAAAAGGAGATTTATTCATAACACACGGGAAAAGACCCAGGAAACGAGTTAAGATAAAAGATTTAAAAAAAAAAATAGCGATAAACCATAAATTTCACACCCGAGCTTCAACTCTCGCGGCCTGGGGATTGGGGACTGCTTGTCTAAAGTCTTAGCCCAAATAGCAGATGCTGGCTAATAATCAATCCAATACTGGCACACCTCACAATCCTGTAATACTTAAACTTTGAATGATAGAATAAGCACAACACAGTGAGCATATTTTGATCTCACAGAGATAATAAAAAAGTGAACCTAGCTTCAAAGTGATGCTAACTGCCATTCTTTCAGATTAGCAACATAAAACAACTGCACTGTTGCAAAAAGTAGAGTTTTCACTTTTTACCAAGTAGGCTAAGTTTTTTAGTGGATTTATGATGGCTGATGATCCCATTCAGAGTAAAACGGTCCAGGAAGATAAGTTTTAAGATTCAGCTACTTTGGAATAGATAAGATGCAAGGGTACCTAGACCTGGGGTATAGAGTATGCTTGGGGAGTGTGATTGTGTGTACAGTGTCTATTTATGTCTGTCTCCACGTTGGGTGAGTGTTGAGTAATTGCATATGAGAGCATGAGGGTGGGAATGGATGTTTGTATCTGTGTGTGCCTGTTTGTCTGTGTCTATATGTCAGGTCGGGTATCAGACGCCACCTCTCTAGGGGACATCTCAGGCCCTCCAAGGTATGGAGGCCTATCTCCCCCCACCACTCCCCCTGTCAGTGGCAGACGCCCGCAGACATCGGTGCATTGGTGGTTCTTGGTGTCCGGGGATGGGCGTCCAGGTATGCACCGGCTCACTCCTGGTGGCTGCTTGTCGGGGCCTGGAGCGTGGGGCTCGCTCGGGCCCCTTCGGGGGTGTACACACAGGTGCTCACACACACAAACTACACCCATTTTGGCTCCTACCTCAAATTACACTGTGCGCTGTCGATCTTACGTGCTGCACAATAATATTCACTTATATTTACTGTTATTTCACTGTAAGATTATCGCAATGATGTTGTTTATTATATTGCTCTCTTTTCTTGCTTGTTTTCTCTTTTTTCTTTCTCAACAGGTGATTGTTATATGTATTTTTTGTCTGTTTGTTTTGTTTGTTTTTGTTTTTTGCCCTTTATCACCGTCCCTCTTCCCCGCTGTTTTTCTTTCCCTCTCTTTTCTCCCTTTTCTTTCTCCCCAGTCAGTCTGTCCCGTTTAGCAAGTGAAAATAAAATAAAATAAACAATAAAAAAAGGTGAATCAAATAGACACATATACGGCAAGGTCTGGGATGGTCCATTTGGTAAAGTAAATCCGTTGGGCATCTTTCTTTGCCTTTAGACAATAATTCTGATGGCAAAAGAACCAAACGGGACAGGCAAAAAAAAAAAAAAAAAAAAAAAAGAATAGTAAGATGCCAGGATGTAGACGTACATGGTGTTTTTAGGTTCTCATTCAGACCCAGCTCTTTGTCGATGCCTAGCTTCTTATTCAAATAGGGTCACTTTAGTTCACAATAAACAGAAAACAAAACAAGATGGCAACTGCAAAAAATACTAGTCACTGATAGTTTACTTTTTTTCTTCCGTTTCCACAACTGACTGTTCCCATCCTTGTTTCAGGTCATTTGGTCTATGGCAGTTCTTTCCCAATGACATCACTCAGGCCATTAAAAAAAAAAAAATCAAACAAGCCATGAGTGGTCATCACTTGTTAATCTTAACTATACCTGCAAAATATCACAAATAACCAAAAACACACACACATCAATACTTGTCCTTAGCTGATGAATATATCAACTGACCCAAACTGATTGTCTCAACAGAAGCTACATTTTGATTGAAAGGGTTTCATGAATGTTTGACATGTGTGGTGACGTTTAAGGACAACTACATGAATATTTTTTTTATTATTATTTTCATTACTGTTATTATGGTGCTTCACAGTTTGCTGGTCCTAAAAGGTACTTTATGTAATTACCCGCTGCGAATCTTAAATAAACCTTGCACCACCAGGGGGCAGTATTTTACCAGGTGGTACGTTGAAATGTTTGATTTTTTTTTTTTTTTAGCCCAAGACCACTTTCTGTATCACCCTTTTCCAGGAAAAATGTGTCTTTAATGACTTTCACAGTTAAATAAAGATTATACCGAATATACATATTCTGTTGATAGTATTAGTTACTTCTGGGAGGATTTAAATGCAGGGATTTACCGCGAGTACCCTTAAGAACTGCATTTGTCTTTATTCACAGACACAGACATACAATGAATGAATCAAAGTGTATTTGTTTTATTTGCAGTATATTTTATTTTTTTCATTTTTTTTTTCCGTTTTTGAGTTTTTAAGAGGTGGCATCATCAGATCCCAATGCATGTATTCTAGTAGTGCACTTCTTTGTGGGTTGCGGTTTTTTGGGTGTCGCAGATCCAGGAAATCTTAAAACTACTTGCATGGCTGGATTCACTAGCAAACATTACAAACCAGCACCATACATATAATGAATTCTTGTAGGTATTGACTCATTTTTTGTGTGAGTTTCTTAACAATATTATTCTAAGCATGTCCCCAAATCAAAAATCTGTCACCCATGTGTGAGTCAAAGAACTTTCGGTCTCTGCATCAAACTCCAGGTGAAAGACTTTCTTTGTTTCTTTGTTTTTTGACGGGTAAGACCAAATACGTAACATTTTGACTATAAACAAGTCACAGAAATAAAAACTGATCATATTCATTTAAAAAAACAAAAAAAACCAAAATCAAAACATGGATTGACAGTACCAAACATTTTCTTTACCTTCAGGAGACAGCTAACAAAGGCTAGGCCCATCACATACTACTCGCACAGTTTGCTGAAGGTATTGCACATTTAGTTCAAAAACAAAAAGAAAACAACAACAACAACAAAAAAAAATATACATATAACAATTCTCTTACTTCTAGGTGAAGTATACATAATGTACAAAACTAGAAGTCTGTTGAAACCGACAAATAGTACACTTTCAAATAAATAAATAATGGAATCTGTTATTCACATGTCTTCGATAGCTAATTCTGCAGGCGACTATATGCAAGAACAGGCAGAAATTCAGCGTGAGGTAGTTCATCAAAGCTGACTTGAATCAGAATGAAAGTGGTTGAGAGATGTAATAATGACAAAAACAACAACAACCTCAGAAGAAGAAAATACTCCAATTATTTGTTCCTACCGATGGGCTAAGAAAATTAAGAGCACTTTACAGAACATCTTTCTTTTCAGCTAATATGACAATTTGATGCATACCACTGCTTCTCTGCATTAACTGTGTCATTTAAAAAAAAATCAATTTTTAGTTTACAACATTTAGTTAGAAACTAAATGACTGCAGGTTGATTTTTTTGTGCTGTATGGGTGAAGCTCCACAGCTGCTAACGCTGTACTTTGTCCTTAAACTTGCAATCTTTTTAATAGCCACGAGTCGGCTATTAAAAATAAAGCTCGGAGAAACAGCACTCTGCTCTGACCTCAGTAAACACTTTCCTGTTTTTATGTAGACATCATCACAGAGACTGTGTCCATCTTTTATACTTTAATACAGTGTAGCTCAGTGTAAACGCTAACATTTGTCTCTTAACACACCAGATATTAAGCTAACACCAGGCTGCCATTTTGGATGCTAACTGTCCTGTAGCTCACTGATAGGGCCACCTTTTCTTTGTAATGTAAGATATTAACAACTGTGCAGCTAAGTGATAGCCATGTTTGTCTGCTGATATATGAAATACTATTGGCTGTGTAGCTAAATGACACCAGCGAAGCTAGTAACATGACATGTGTATTTGAAGAAAAAAAAAAAACCCAAACAAACAAACAGTTGTTTCACTAATAAATTACATGCTAGCTCAGGAAAGAAAACGTGCTGCCCTTTGGGAAAATCTGTTTTGAATAATGTGTGACTGTTGATCTGATAAGTTTGGATCTGATAAGCCTTTGGATAACTAGCTGGCTTATGTAATATGTCCAGCTTAGGACTATTAGCGAGCATTAGCCATCACAGACTGGTGCAATATTAGGCGTTTACATTAATTTTACTACAGATAATTTTTCAGCTATTTAGACATATTTTATGGTTCAACCTGATTGAGTAAAAACCACTAGATGTAAAGTTACTAGTTGTTATAGATCAATAACATGAATAGGGTGCGAATTCAGAACCTGACACCGACAAGGCCCTCAGTGGTGTTAATATTTGAGAAATCATGCCGTTAATAAATGGTTAAATATCTGGCAGAGAAGTTGCCTGAGTGGAGCTACAGTGTATGCTACAGTCTAAAGATAACGTCACCACTGAAAACAACAGGATGCAGACGGTGTTGTCTTACACAATTTGACAATCCTAGCACTGTAGCATGTACTCCTCTGCTGTCAGCATCCACGAACCACGTGAGAGCGCATCACATAAATAAATATTATGCAAACATTTGGTGGCAGGCAGATTTGCTGCAGGAAATAAGCTAATATGGCTAGCTGATTCAATATGGCAAGGACATTTTTTTCAGTTAATACAAGTGTTATGTGCGCTGTGGATGTGGCTGCATGGCTCTGCCTTTTTTCTACTATAGTGTCAATCTGCCTTTCTAATATTAAACTTTATCCAAAGCTTTTTAAAATACTAGCATGAATTCAGTCGCAGAGTTTGCTCATATAGTTTGATCCAGCACTTAATTTTTCTGTCCATCAGTCAACAAATTAAATGAACTACTTAAAGAAAATTACATGTATAAAAATTGTCATTATTCTATATGTTGGTTGCTGTCACTGCAAAGAAACACTTCTTTTTACTTTGATGAAAGACCTTGATAAAACTGCCTCTTCTGAAATGACTCCAACAAATGCATAAGCACCTCAATGCATACGTCACCACCACCCTCTCCTGCAAGACACCGCAGTCTCTTGCTCAACAGTCCAAAACCAAAACAAGTAGAAAAATATACAACACGCTCGTGAGAACTACGACCTCCCCTCGCACGTCACCGCTCTGACATGGAAACTACTGTTGTTATCCAGAAGCTGACGGATAAAATGCTCCCTCCTAAACGCACTCAGGAATGAATGACAAACAACAGGCACTTTTCCTTTCAACACAAAAATCATATACACTTAAAACAGGACGCTATTATTGCATACAGTAAGAAAAAATTTGTTTCTTTTGACTCTGGTTTTTGTGCTGCTAGGTTATATAGAGATAGTTTGTTTGATCCATAGTTACAGGCAAGTCTAGTTCGCAAAGTGTTCGCTGATTATTACGAAAAAAAAATTGAAAATTAAAAACAAAAACACATTACTAATAACGGGATCTGAGAGTAAGGAGGCACACACCTTTTACACCTAACCGCTGTCGCTCAGAGATGCCAAATATCAACACGTTCGCATGCGTTCTCGAATATCACGTTGCCCTACTTGACCGAAACACATTCCACTTACGCCATCGCCGACTTCACAACCTCAAACTACTCTACGTCTTACAAAAACCTCCCGAAGCACGATGAAGAACATTCTGAAGTCCTGAATTGATACCGAAACTATTCCGCCTATCTACTTCCAACGTGTCGCACAGCCATCTGCAGATAAGAGGTACTTTAAAAGCACTTAAAAATAATACAGAAGACAGTCATCGAGAGGATATCCTGCAGGACCCAACTGTGCCATAACCAATCCTGTAGTAAGAGGTTAAAAAAAAAAAAAAAAAATCAATCACATTGTGAGAAAATGTCAGCATTTTTAAATGATGGGAAAAATACGTTGATTATAAAGCTTTCGTTAAAGTTAAAATTTACAATGAAGAATGTAGTACTGACTCAAAAGAGTTCAAATAAAAGGATATACATATGATCTAATATCCACATTATGGGAGAGAGAATAGAAACGGGGGGAGTGCTAAGACAAAGTTTGTCAATTAAATTAGGTTTTCAATGGCTCACTGCAAACTTGTATCGAAGAGTAAAACTACATCTACAATAAAATCTGTACAAACTCAATCTACATGTATATGGCAAATTGTAAAAGCAGTAGCTTAACAAGTGGGAAAAAAAAATCACATTGAAACATTTTACAGATATTTCTTTAAATTTTCACTGTTGGCTCATACAAACCGGAATATAGTGAAATGATAAAAATTCTCTGATCATCTCAGGTTTCTGAAAAAATTAAGAAATTCCACAATAAATTACAGCTAGGACTCAACTGAAAAGAAATCCTAATTTTGTTTGTTTTTTTAAAAAAAAAAAAGAAAAGAAAAAGACTACAGCTTTCATTAAAAAAGAAAAAGATCTGTCCTTTCAGAAATGTTTCAAACAGCTAGCTAGTTAAAGCTACACTACTGAAGACGAGCACGGAGGGGAGGCAAACACAGCGGGTGGGTCTAGGGGCCGGTGTCGGGCTGGTGGTCTTGGATGTGACCAGGTGGTGTGGCCCAGCCCAGAACCAGGTGTAGGCGATAGTCATCTGCAGCAGCCCATTGGGCCGGAGGCTGTAGCAGCGGCGGCGGCAGGGCCCGCCGTCTCCAGGCTGCTGTCGGTGTCGGTCAGGGTCGGGTCGGTGGACATTGAGGAGACATCGTTGGCGGAGGTGGAGGAAGAAGTGGAGGGATGGTGCTGGTGGTGCTGCTGGGGGCTGCTGCTCACTGCTGCACCTGTGCTATGAGAAGCAGGGATGGGCCTGTGGTCAGTCACGGAACAGCATTGTGCTTTAGCAGCTGATCTAATAAAGACGGGATGGTGAAGGCTGGTTTTTACATTTGACAAACCAACGAGTGGATTCATTCTGAACCACATGCCGTATAAATGCCTGAATGTATCCGGTTTATCTACACGACTTTGAAGATTCACCGAAATAATAAATAAATTAACACAAATGTGAGCGCGGGTCACGTCAGGGCCAACGCTGTTCGCATCTGCTCCCATTAGAGCGATTACGGAAATGAAATCAAAGCGCTGCAAATGTTATCTGAAGGAAAGCATCTTTGTCTCAGATACATTACAATCACTTGCAATATAGTGCAGCAGCCGTGATCATGCGCAGACGTCTTGTGCAGTGCAAACATATTCACCTCTTCCATTACAAACTCATTTTAAAACCTTCTCTCACATAACAAAGTCCACCAACCTATGGACGCCGGCTGTCCCCTGATGACGCCGTTCTTCGTCCTTTCTTCCCAGTCTAGCACTTCTTTATATATCAACTCTGTAACAAACACAATGAAAGCCATTTATTCAGATCACTTTAAAAACTGAAGAAGAAAAAAAGGGTGAAAGACAGTTTTAAGATGAGGTCATGCACAAATGTTTTTCTTCTTTTGGCAAAAAGCTTCAGACTAAAAAATGGTAATAAATGAATGCCCAGTTTACACGGGAACATTTCACTCTAAGGAGACAGAAATGGGACAGTGTGTCTTCAAGCCATCTGTGTGTCACATTTACACTTTCAGGTGTGAACCTCCTGTTGTTATCACTGCTCTGCTAGGACAGGGGAGCTTAAAGATATTCAAAGGAATACTAACATGGAGAAAACGCCTCTTTTACTATTAAAAAAAAAATCTAAAAAAGCTCAAGTATTTCCAAAAACCTGAACCTAAAGTGATGAGCTCACCATTTTGCTCAATCTAAACATGTGACTGGACACAAGAAAAACAGCTACTCAGTTTAGTTTTTACGGCATTTAAAATTAATTTGAATCATAAAACATGCATATTAGTTTAAGGAAAAACTGGTTCAACTTGTTTTGCTTGTTTTTCAGTTTGTTTTGTTTCATAAAAACAGATGTGATTGTATTTAAATGTAAGAGTCGTGCTAGCTAATGCAGCACTTACACTGTACCCACCCATTCATCCTTAAGGCTAAACACCACTAAAATCAAACGTTTGTCATTAAGGACAAATTAGCTAGAGAGAACTGAACCTGTATGCATAAGATGAGCATTTTAACATGGTAGCCTGTGGGTATTTTCTCACCAGTATAAAGCAACTCTAGCATTTAGCACCTCAGCATACGCTTCATTTTCTACCCACAAGGCTTCCAAGCATCATCATCCAGGAATATGTATTTTTGTGAATGAAGCAAACAGGCTTTAAATTTACCATTTTCACATTAAAGGAACAGTTATGTTAATAAAGACCCAGCAGGAAGGTGATGCAGGTTTGCACACCTTAGTATTTGTGACTAAAAACAGATGACGGGGATTGTAAAGTAACCGTGAAGAATGAACTGCACTCATTTTGAAAGCTTTCATTCATTTTGCAGACTTAGACTAAACAAAAACCAAATCTGCATTTATACACCAATGAAAATTAGCTTTTCCCTCTTCTCTATCTTTCTCCCAAGCCGGTAAAGCTCTGATGTTCTGGCCGAGGGGACCAACGGGGGAAATATGCTGCTTTGGACACAGAGTTATTTTCAGCAGAAAATGAGGACTACATTTATGGTTTCTGACAGACTGTGCAGAGGAAAACATGCAACTCCCTTCCAGAACAAAGATTAAATGTCCCACAGGCTGTGAAGCACAAAGCTAGACCAACCTTATGCATCACCCTGTAAACAGCTAAGTACTTATGACAGGAGAGGAGAGGATCCTTCCTACCTTTCCATTCCTCCACTGTGTGCTCCCGCTCATCCAGCTGCTTGTCTGTGATCACCGGTGGTGGCTGGAAAGAAAAACAGAATAATGTGTCTTTTTACCAAATGGTCACACATTCATATCACATCCGCACAAATTATAGACTCAGGCCATAGCTTAAACCTCTCCCTTTTCTAACATTTAACAGAGCAAAGAGAAGATGCTGATGCTGCCTCTTTAAGAGACACAAACGCCGACGCTAGTAGCCTCTGATTTATGAGTGTTACCAAACCAGAGGTCAAATTTACAGAAGTCATTCACATACAGCAGGTGTATGAGGATGTCTCAGACTCAGTGAATCCCGAGTTGAAAAATACTGGCGACTACAAGCGGTATCCCTCAGCCTCCTTTTAGACACACCTATGGTATTACTACATCACCTTCTTCAAGTGTTCACAAGGTTTTCATAAAACCTGACCTCTGACCATGAGGTCAGAGGTCACTGAGACTCAAACCCATCTGACCCATCAGCCACAAGCAAACAAACAAGCTCATGAGTTAGTGCAGTTGTGTATAAATCTACACTTTTCAAGGATGCACCGTCAGCTCTGAGGAATCCACAGGAGGCAGGGGAGAGGAGGAAAAAGCAACAATTCGCCTCATTTCCCAATCTGCCAAAACGCAGTCAAAAATCAATCTGCACTGGCTGAGTCACAGCGTTTCCAAGGAGAGGCTTCACATTTGTCACCATCTCAATTTTAGAGACTGAAGCACAAAGACACAGCTTTACAGTTTGTAGTCTTGAGACAGAAAAGGGAGCTTAAAATGGCATTTGAAAGGTGTTAAACTTTACCTTTTCACTTGTTTTACAGGAAAATTTTCAATGTTCTACAGAGGAAAGCTACATTGCGGCATTCCTGCTAAACTTCAAAAGACCCTTAAATTGAATTTTCCCATCAGCTATTCAATATGAGGGATATATTCCAGCCTAAAGCAAATTATATTACACTTAGAGCGGCTTTGATGTTGCACATTAAGGATTTTTTAAGAGGTCTGAAATGGGTAGAGCTCAGGTGTGATTGCCATAATCAATGAACATAGATGCTATTAGCAGTGATAATCACTTCCATGTGATTATCACTCAAACAGGAATGCAATGAAAATACACGAAACTCAAGTACTTACTGCCTCCACCTCAGTTGGGTCGTACCACACGTTGATATAGGGGTGCTGGAGAGCCTCATCCACCGAGATCCGCTTTGATGCATCTATTACCAGCATCTTTGATAGGAGGTCACGGGCTTGGCTCGCTGAAAGGAAATAATTAAACATAAAAAATATGCAGGAGTGTGCGGCTTGGTTGATGAGATGCATTTCCTGTTGAGATGGGATGTTGGTGCAGGAAACAATGTAGGCAGCAACCGCTTTGAAATGTAAACGAATGAGTATCCATGAGGAAGGGAAAAAATTTATAACATAATTTTCGTGGTACCACTTATAAAGTCCTGTTTTTCCATAAAGGAAAAATTCTGCTTATATTCTGCTCCAAATGTATATTTTCAGACCCATTTTCTTTCCTAATACAGCGTCAAATCACAACAGTCCCTTCAATATTCTTTATATTGTGAGGTCCCTTCAATAGCAGTGAGAAAACCCCAACAATCAGACAACCCCCTATGAGAGAGCAGGTGGTGACAGTGGGAAAGAAAAACTCTCTTTAAAAAGGAAGAAACCTCCAGCAGAACCAGGCTCAGGTAAAGGGAGGCCATCTGCCAAAATTGGTTGGGGGTTCACAGTTGAGATTAATCCCCATTTGTCTTATTCTGTGACCCTAAGTTTGCCTCTATCTGAATCACACTGACCATTCCTTTTTAAGTTAAGGCCTCACTCACATAGAGACTAGTCACACAGAGGTCACTTGTAATCTACTAATCGTGAAGGATTACAGGAGTTTGCTCGTTGTTGCCAACTTGTTTGCAAACATTCACCAACTAGTTGCTAAGCAGCAGTGAAACTGAAGAGTGAGATGCCAATCAGAAACAGAGCACGTTCAGCTTCAGAGTAAAAGCTGTGTCATTGGTTGATTTCAGCAGTAAGACAACTTTTACTTTCAGGGCTAAAATTCTCTGCACCACACTTTTTCAAGTTTCACTACTGCTTGTTGATTGGCTAGCAAGTTTGGGCATCAAACCACGGGCGACTGTGCCAATCTACTAGCAATCAAAGCAATCACAAGGTGGTTTTTGGTGCAGCGTAGTCTTTGTGACCATTTTTACCCAGGGAATGCATATTCTACCCTAAACCTAAACTAACGGAGGTTAATAGGAAGTCATGAACCAATCCTGTATGACTGAGAGAATTAAACTTTCTTGTGACTGGCTACCCCTCCCAAGCAAAAAGTCTGAACGGTACATGGTTAGAGCTCATTTGCTCACTCAGAGGTTTGTACCTGTGATGTCTATTTTAGGGTTTTGACACTGACTCACACAGACCTTAAACTAGAAAAAAAAAAAACTGCACAAAGCCTTTAGAACAAATAAAGCCAGCTTTCAAAACACTGCTCCCCAATGCTATCCAAGATGGGAAACTCACCGAGGTTTTTGCCTTTTCAACAGAGAACATGTATCCACTTTTGTCTCCATTTGAGCCTGTCAAGGACATCCGCCCTGATTATCACACATTGTTTCACATTCTGTATGAAACCTGACAGAGTGAGTCATCACAGCTAATTGATGTTGTTAAAGCAGAGAACTTGAGGGGGGAACACACTGTCATCACATGTTCCTACCTCTGTGAAGTAACAAGGACTGAAAAAGAACGACTTTTTTTTTTGCGACATCTTACAACAGCTCTGTGGCACTCACTGTGAGTGTTCCTGTCACCACCTCTGCATTTACAGAGAAAGACAGGCTTGAGGTGAATTCCTCTTCACAGAAGAAACAACTTTGGTGCTGCCGGCTTCTAGAATAAGTGGTTAAGCAAAGACTGCCGCCGAGCAGTGATCTTGCTTTGGCTTTGCTGCCAGCAGATATTTGTTAGGTTGCAAACCCAAAGCACATGTGGAGGAGAAGTTCATATCTATACGTCCTTGAATGTGTACTCACTGACTACCCACGGACTCATTTGTTACACTTCCAAATGCAACCCCCCCCCAATAAAAAACAATAAAACAATCTCACAAAATTTAATGTAAATATTATGTTGTGAAAAAATAAAATAAAATATAAACAAAAAAAAAAAAATAAAAACCTCTAAAAGGTCACAGATGATAAATTCTACATTAAAAAAAAAGAACAACACAGCTTTACAACAGTGATTTCAAGCAGTAAAACTGAAACACACTGTGGCATAACTAATGACTGCCTCATTGCTCCTACTAACAACCATCCACCAAAACTGTTTCAACACTCATTACCTTCTTATGCTTGAGTAAGAATTTACAAGACACCCCTACCTTTCAGTTTATTGTGCTCAGAGTCTGCAGGAAACAGGACATCAGGGAAGAGCTTCTCGAAGCTGTAGCCAGCATACCGTGGTCGGTTCTCCACATAGGTCCTCACGGACTGGTTGAGCTTCATCAGGAACTCCTGAGATGGCGTCCCCAGCTGCTCGATCACCTTGTTCCACTGGTCAATATCTTTTGGTTATAGTGTTAAGAAAAGCGTACGGCTGGATTGGAAAACAAGAGGCTCCAGTTTGAGAGAAGTTTGAGGAATGTTTGATCTGGTTTGGACATGTTCCCCAAATACTGAGCTGATAAAGAAAGCTCAAACAAAACAAAACAAAAAAAAGAACGAAAGCAAACTACAACCACAAATAGCTACAACACAGCTTTGAAACTAAACAATTTTCGTTTGCACATTATTCCTGTAGAAACCTGCTAGGATGGGCTGAGTGGGATACACACAATCTGAAAAAAATAATACACACACATATATTTCAAACATCTGCACTCTGCATAGCTAGACGTCAAGTGAAGCAATGTGAGGTTCACCTGTAAGACATCCAGATGTTGGAAATACAAGTCACACACATGTAAGGACAGATAACACATTCAGACTGCTTGTTCACATCTTTGTTCATCCTCAAACATGAATGAACAAACAGAAGGAGAAACCTAGCCTTGAGAAAACAAAAAGCTCTGGTTGTTAAGTTCCTAATGCCAAAGTACATTTGCTATGATTGATTTTTTTTTCTTTATCCTTTAGTCTGTTGTTTAGCAGCTTTTGTGAATGTAAATAATTTGCATAAAGACAAATCGAAGCTACCGACTGCTAGCATCCTAGTAGTAAGCTAATGAGGAAGCTAGCCTTTAAGCCATGTTTTCAACCAAACACCCTACACTGCTAAAAAGATCCGATAAAAACAAATCAATTGACAATATCATCCTTGACTTAATTTAAAGAGGATGGCATTGATACAAAGCTACAGAGTGGCCTTTTTTTCCACATAAAAGGTGGAGCTGGCCTTTGGATCTTAAACTAAAACCAATTGGGGAGGGCCTAAAACCAGCATTCTCTCTAGTGTCCAACAGGGGGCGATACTGGTGTTTGCAAAAAGCCTTGTTTGAAAGTTAGTAGTAAAAGTTTGTATTTACCTCGGTAAATACTTTCCTGATCTTATGGGCTCAGTCACTTATTCTGAATAAAACTTTAAGCCCATTATGTGAATTTTTGTTACTTTAAGTGTCAGAAAGCAGGATTGTTTAGGATATTCTAGCAACTGCGCACTGATAGTGAATGTGCAGTTTTACAGTCTGATACATAATACACCTAGATGATGAAATTCTAATGTCGTATTGAAGTTTAAGACTAGGAACTAGTCGGTGATATCATGATCAGCCCATTAATAAAAACCCATAACTACTAAACAAAGGAGCTCTTTAACAATATGTTGTTATATAGGGACCTTTTTGAATCAGGGCATAAAATGCCTGTATTCTTCCCCTCCACTGCTTCACAATTTCTCTAGTGGGATCAAATAGGGTTGTAGTGCATGTTTACTTTCTTGTTATAACCATTTATATTGAACAGGGTCTGATACAGCATAATAGAAGTGCTAACCTTGGTGTAATAAGACTTACTGGGTCACCTAAATAGATTGGAGCCATTATTCTTGTCACCACATAATTAAACTTGTACTTTGCCTGCTGTAAGAAGCCAGCATTTGCCATGAAAGATGGCTACAATTCTTCCAGCTCTGCCACTGCGAGTGATGAATGTCGACCCTGAGCGCAATGTCGTCATCACTCATTAAACAGCAGGTTTGGCAGGTTTTTTTCCCCCCCTTTTGTGTGCAAAGATATGAACAAGATGTCAGACAGAGGATGGGACAACGGCCGTTTGAGGAGGACGGGGGTTTGGATGGAGGTTCAACTTAAGGATACGATCAGTGCCTGGAAACAACACACTACCCCGGACCATTTCAGCCATGATACAGCCAACAGACCAGACATCAACTGAAAAATGAAATGACAACCACCGAATTAGCATGCAGGACTGAAAACCAAATGGAAAACAAAAATGAAAATAAGAACAAGAGGAGAGGGGAAATTATAATCCATAAACACGATGATGTTCGTGCAAGGTGACACATGACGCAAAATGACCTGCATGCATCTGAGAGCACTCTCACACCTGGATCAGTGTTTAACAGGTGTTTGTCTCCATCATAGCTGCAAAAATGTATGTTTACTTCTCCTGCAGACCATGACTTTTAAGATTTATGAGAACTTTGTTTTTTTGCAAAAATGCAATTTAATGATCTCTGTATCCTCACTGCAACTTAAGCTGGAAAGTGTTATCTAATGACGGCAAGAAATCATTTTTTTGTGTTAAATTTTAGATTAAGAGTTTTTCTTTCACATTACAACAAAAGCCATACGCTAAGCAGTTCGAGGATACTGGAGGGCATTTTATGCAGTTCACTTCTCAGCTATGGCAGAGCAAACTATTAATTCTATTTCAGGTCTTTCATGTGACAGTCATGGTGCTCGAAGCAACAGTGTTGCTGCTCGAGTGAGTGAGGAGGGAGTCGAGCCAGTGGATCTGCAGGAAGAGGAGGTGGGCGGCTGCAAGTCAAGATGTCAGGCAAATCCAAGAAACAGAATTTCTATAGCTGCGATGTATTTGATGAGAAAGAAAAATAACAAAAAATAAAAATCAGGAAACAAAAGAAGATCTGAAAAGGTGACTGTTTTGAGGCCATCTTCATTTCACATGAAATGCCAGACACTGCTACAAGCAGCTCAAGGATACAATCCCTTCCTGGAAAAAGGATTTTGTGGCGAACCATTTCTGCCATAATGCAGCCCACAGCCCAAATATCCACTACATATGCGCAGCATCAAAGGAGGGAGAAGAGAATAACCCAAAACAATGAAATAAAATAAGAAAGAAAGATGCAACAAGTCAGCAGGAAAACAAAAAAAAAAGAATCAGGTCAGTGTTTCTGATGAGCATTATGAGACCCTCTAATTGTTTTTTGAGAGGGGACTTGTACTACCTGCACCTGTGCTCTAGGACAATATGTACACTTTAAATCAACAGAATTTTAAAAGTAACAAACAAACAGTGCAGCTCTCCAATTACATTTAGTGTTTTTGCTTCCACCTGACTCTCAGCATGTTATTAGCCAATGAATTCAGTCTTTATTTCCTTACTGGGACAGAACATTATAACAAAACTGTTCCACTCGTGGGCTTCTCTAGACATTTTATGTCCAGTATTACGGTAACCTAATGAGCTGTGCTGGCATTCACCTTACAGTGTCTGCAGCTCAGTGCTGATAATGTCAATGTCTCACACAATCACAGCAGAGAATCTCAGACTTCCCACAACAAGGCCATCTTCTTAAAAGGAAATGCTCATCTAACACAAACCACCGGCACCACAGCTGCACCCAATGCGTCTCCCTAGCTTTTACTGCACTGTTATAGATTTTTATCTATATACAGAACTGAGGTTTTAGTGGTGATAGGTTTTAATCACATATCGCAGTACATCTCTTATGTTTTGTTTCATCTCTGCTAGCTTTGGGCTGCACTAATTCACAGCACAGTCCTCTACTAATCTTTCTGCTCAACTATATGATATTGGTGCTCTGGCATCTAATGGATCAATATGACATATTATACCATACGTCAACTTCTGCGCTTCAGACTGCCTTGCTCAAACTGTGATGTGTTTCAAGCAGGGGTGCACGGTGAAACTGCTGAAGCATGCATTAGTGCCTGTATTCATACTGAGGTTTACTTTTTGGCTTAGCTGAGCTGAGCTCAGGCAACCTGTTAATAAAACATCAAACACATGCTAAAACACTGCTGGGCACCACAGTCCTCAGACAGGAAGTTCCCCACAAAGCACCGATGCCACACATGCCAACTCCCCCCCCTGAGCGTAACCTTTACAGGAAAAGGGAGTGTGTGCCTGTGTGTGGGAGAGAGTGTTTGGGAAGTGATCCTGAAACATCTCAGGGGGTGAGGGCCATGCAGCAGGCCAGGCAGCAGCTCCTCATTAGCCGGTCGCTGTCAAGAAGCCGCTTCATCCACTTCCTGCACTTACCGTTGGCCTGGTAGCCCATTCCCAGGATGACTTCAGGGGCGCGGTAGTAACGCGTCACCACGTAGGGCGTCATGAGGAGACCAGTGGCGGCCGTCCGGGCCAAACCAAAGTCCAGAATCTTCAGTGTGCAGTCGGACTTTACCACGATGTTGCTGGGTTTCAGGTCCTGTTCAAACACAACACCACCGCAAAAGTTACAACCTGCCATAGATTAAACATTTCACAAAAGACAACTAAAACACTTGACTGAAAATCAAACTCGCTTTGCAAGGAGACTTTTTTTGGTGCGGGGACAAATATTCCTAGAAATGTCTATATATGGGAAACACAGTCGCTGGTGTAATGGGGCTCAAATATCAGGGTTTGTTTTCCCTCAGAAGAGGCGATCATTCTCTCCTCTACTAAATGAAAAGCTGATACCCACCGAGAGGATGATGAATCACTGTAACCACAAATTCTTTGTTTTGTTTGGTTACACCATTTCATCCTTATTTATCTGTTCTCTTGAGTTCAGTGTGTTCATTTCCCTGTGTGCTTTTTTTTGGCAATGCTTCCTTACAAGAACTTAGAAAACAGCCCATCTGCTCAAGGGTGTCTCCTCTCTTCTGAAGCTAACCCGACAGAATCGAGAGGAACTATAAGCAATCCTGCGATAAAGACTCATTGCCTATGGCTATAACCTGGCCATATGCCAGGTGATTTATTGCAATAATTTCCCCCTTTCAATCTTATTTACATGCAGGCTAATCTGATAACATCTTAATGAGCCTCGTCTGGTTTTGAGAAGAGAATAAACAGACTACACCTGAAGGGTACTCACTGCCAAACGCTAATTTCAGGAAATCTTTAATGCGCTACAGCTGAAAATCCTCCTGATAATAATTATCATCACTTGTTAATCATAAGAACATCAGACTGGAGGGCTAAACCACAGTCAGTCATACTGCCACCTCCATAGGTAGCTTCTGAGCAGCTGAAACAGACCAGAGAGCTCTCATCACTGAGACAATGCCCCCAAAAAACGAGAGCACGATCTCTGGCGATCCGTGACTCACGTTGCATCTGTTCACCTGATGAAAGCTTCGCGTGCCAAGCTGTGCCAGTGTGAGCGAGGCTGGTTAGCTCCGCCTGCGGCTCAATTAGTTCTGGCTGGCAGAGCAAGAGGAGCTCTGCTAATCTACTGGAGCACATCTCTCTGAGGGTGATTGACAGGAGGCTGCCAGTCACTCTGTGTAAGTGTGTCCATATGAAAAACCTATTCATACAGCTGTTGATGCCTCAGGATGTGTACTGTCATTCTGTGTGTGATGTTTCAAGGTAACGACCAGTATACAGTGTGTGTCTCCACTGCAACCTGTAAATGTGTGATTGTGTTATCTGGTGCTTTCATGTTAGAAACGTCAGTAAATGTAAATGCAATGAGATCCAGTCAACTGCAGCTTTAAAAGAGCGCCTTGACATTTTAGCAGGCAAACTTGTCCTGTGGACGGGCTGGAAGGTTCCACTTTTATGTCTGCACACTAAAGAAGCTGCAAGAACCCATAAAGCTTAGCCCACAAGCATGCCATCTATAGTGTATATCATGGCAGGAATTTAAACTACATCACATTTTACTTAGAGATGATTTAAGCATTGGTTTGCACAACTGGTCAGCAAAAACGTACCACCGTCACTGCCTTCCTCCAACCACCCTACTGTGTTTTCACTACTACACTTCGATATCTTTCAGTAGTCTCATATTTTTCCTTTGATGTGAAACTTTAAATTCATAAAAACATGGACTTAACTCAGTGTAAGCTTCAGCTTGCAACTGCTCCCAGTCACATCTGTACAGCTGCATATATGGCCCCCCTGGTATGGCTTACCCTGTGTATGATCCCTGCGGCGTGCAGATGTTTGATTCCACATAACATCTGGTAGAGCAGGTACGACAGCCTCTCGTGGTCCAGCTCCATCTGAATCACCTGACAGAGGTTGGCATCCATCAGTTCCATTACTAGATACCTGCAAGGAAAGAGGTTCAAATAAGCACACAAGCAGAGACAAACAAACACAGGGTTTTTTATGTTTGTTTCAGTGGGTGTATTACAGTGTATAGATGCAGCATGTGCACGTGCCTGACTCTGTATTACGTTTCCTACATGCCAATAGAATATGAAGCTACATTAAAGTGTGAGATTCTCTCACCCAATCAGCTTTAATTTGCCTGGCATTTTGGAAGTGACAGTACGGTATCTCCTCCAAACAGTGATGATGTTATCACAGTTGTCAGCTGTTACATCATCAGTCACTACATGGAGTAAGAAACCTCTGACAGATTTTTTTTCCCCCGTTACAACAACAACAAAAAACAAAGCAACATCTTTGTGTGAGAACGATCATTTACAAAGCAGAACTTGTGCTTGCAAACAGCTTATAAAATACTGAAACTGGCTACAATGCATTACCAATAGTATGGGTACACATATGTATGTGCCGGTATACATTCAAGTAAACAAACACCAAAGCAAATGCAGTGTTCATCCTCCAACTCTGCGATGGCCCCGCTACCCTCTGGCTACGATTTGTCCAGTTTCCTTTTTAGCTCCAATCAGGCAAACACAGCAGAGTAGACACAAACACACACACACACACACACACATATCTATGTGTATACACACTCTGGGCTTCAAAAGGATGGCATTAATCATGTTCGTTCCCATCATACTGTTGGTAACCATCACTTCCCCCACATCCCAGCATTCCCCTCTGATTTTACAGCTACTTACACGGACATCTTGTCGACTTCGAAACACATCCAGGGCAACTAAAGTGCATGCATACATGGCACATATATATAGTATAGCTACAGCTCTTGACAGGTGAGTGTCAGGCTGGTGACAGATTGTGGCCAATCAGCCTGAAAACTGGTTCATTCCTGTCACCAGCTGATTCAGTCTGTGCTTTTCTAATATTCACCATGAAATGTGCACACCTGACATCCCACTGACTATAAAGCATCATTTCCCTGAAGTATTTAACGTGAGGCACAACAAGAGATCCGGCTAAGCCCCCAAAAAGATCATCTAAGCCCCCGGCGTTCTGCATCCTGTATTGATTTGAGCAGCTGCGATTTGACTCGCTGATACTCACACATCTTGGAATTCCTCCAGTGTCTTCTGTGGTGTGAATACATTTAACAGCCCGATAATCTGCAACAACAACAACAACAACAAAAAAAGTGTAATTGCTGGAGTTGTTTTGTATATTTGACAACATCTTCACATCCACATCCCTGGACACGAAGGCCAACTCTTAATTTGAAAAGTTAAACGAGGAAGCGTTAGCATTAATTATGAATAACAGCAGGATAGTTTCCTCATTCACACCTCCGAGGCAGCAGCACCGAGAAGTTTGTGGTCATTCAAAACACTATTTTTTATGGTTCGTTTCCATGTGTGGCGCTCAGCAGGTTCTGCTTTAAAACCAACATATTGTGCAGTTCTTTTTGCTTCCCTGCTGACTCATACTTTACACAACTCTGAATATAGTGACTCTAAAGATCAATACTTAAATCATTTTAATGGACAGGAATGAGAATAGCATTTAAATGCATCCTGCTAACACTTTTCAAAGCTAATTGTCCCCTTTAATTTCTACTGTACATTCTCTGCTCCTGCTTAAATTATACTTCTATTCAATGCTCAGGTTCATCTACATGAAATGCACCTACACTATACAGTCAAAAGGTAAGGCTATCCTCTAACGTCTAAAGAATTAGACCAAAACATTCAAACCATGCAAAAAGAAACAAAAATGCCATTAAATTCTGGCTCTTACATTCTTGTGGTTGACACATTTCATTAGCACCAGTTCCCTGTAGGCCCGTTTTGCATGAGTTTGATTCTGAAAGGGTCGGCTCAACTTCTTGATGGCAACGTTCCTCTCCAAGTTGTGGTCGTACGCCGAACTGGGGTGAAGGAGCACAGGAGAAATTCAGTCAGCAATAATGGATGTCAAAAATTGTTCTTTGTTTTTGTTGTTTTTCCCTGACGGCCAAAGGAATATGAAGATTTTGCCTTTTTCAGCTTTATTTATTAGGGACAGTAGAGACTGACAGGAAAGGAAGAGCAGAGGAAGAGAGAAATAGAGCCACTGAACTAAAGTGAGCCAAGTCTGTTGCTAATATTTTGCCCATAATATACACCTAAGGGGGAGCTATACTGAATGTGGCAGTCTCTAAAAAGTTATCCCTTGTGTTGCACTTAAGTCCAAAAATCTGTAGTTCTGCAAACTGCCATAAAGCCCAATGACCCCTGGGTTAAATGACCAGCTTTACAACAGAAACAAACATGTTTACATCCCATTACCAAAAACTGATTTCCCCGGTCATGAAAGCCATACACGAACTACATTTTGATATAAATCATCAAATAAGGTTTTGATGTTGTGTATGCTTAAAGGTTACAGAAAGCTACAGCTTCACAGCCAGTAACAGAACCACTCGACCTGAAGTCTTGACCACGTTTGCGGCGCCTTTTGAAGCATTTTTAATATAATCATTTGACAAATAGCATGCCTTGCTCGGTTTTAAACCTGACCAAATATACCATATGTGGTTTGAGAGAATTTTAGAAATCCATCTAATAGAACATATAACACGCTCCCCGAGGCCTCAGAAAGAGAGAGGGAGACCTATTTTTTACACTATTTGAAAAAACAAGCTTAGTTGTTTTTCATTTCTGCAACTAAAATATTAAATCTTTACACCCGTACGGTTTCCTTTTAAATAAAAGAAACAAATTTAGTTGGTAATAACTGATAAACTGAGGATCGGAAATTTCTATGCAGAATGAGTCAGCAAACTTTGTCTATTGAGCAATACATTCGGACAGCCCATAATGTCTCCTCCTACTTTAAACTTAGGTTGGTTACTCTATCTGTTAAAAACAAAACAAAAACAGCATCGCTGCCAATGAGCTTAGGTTTATAATTGGCTGGATAAAGCACCACGTAGACCCAAATTCTTTTCTTGTCAATGCCGGCCATAAGTGATGTTTCATATGCAGAGATGTACATTAGTAATGCCAAGTATGCTTTACACTGTCAGAGGAACTTTAGTTATAACTGTAGAAAATGCACGAACATGTTTAGTCCTGCTGTGCTGCTCTGTTTTATACCGCTAAAATGTCAGCAAATGCTCTTAAATGTCACGTTAAAGAGCTCCACTGTGCAGCTGTCATAGAAATAAAATGAATAGTCAAACAAGTGTACAAACAAACACATTTACAATTGTTTTATGCAGTAATATTTTTATAATCTTCATATGAGCGGATTCTCTTGTAGGTGGAACTCAACTGTGTCATTTTGTGAGGACTAGAGTCAGATGGTGCAGAAATGTGAGTGTGCAGAATGCCTGAAGCAGAACGTGCATGTTAAAAAGGGCTCTGTGTTGTAATTGCTTTGTAGTCCACCCCTCATGTGAGTGGGTCTGTATGCCTGAATTGATGATATTAGGAATATCCCCTCTCCCTGACATAACAGACAAGAAACTGAGCATTTACAGCAGTGTCAAGCCTGAGCTTTTGGTTCTTAGGGATTACTTGTACATACCTGACTTTATTACTTTAAACAAAACTTTGATCACGTGTGTACGACCTCACGGCGTCGTAACATTACAGATGGGACAGAAAATAAAGAAACGTTTAACAGGCCCACTATTAATCCTTTTCCAGCACTAAGCACTGCAGTTGTTGAGATTTTGTAGCCAGCAAGTTCTTACATGACAAGCTAAAGTCTTAGCTGACACTCTTAACTGTGTTGTGCATCAGTTTTCTGGTATTCCTACCTGGTATGAGGAAGAGAGAAGGTTAATGACAGCAAAGACGTTAGATGAGTTCGTCAAGCTCATCTTATGTTACAAGTTGAAATGGATTCATTCTGACAGCTCATGTGATTTTGATGGGCCAATCAATCAACCACTTGACGCATAAGCAAAAAAAAAAAAAAAATTCATGGCTCATTGCAAATATGAAGGAATACCAAAAAAAAAAAAAAAAAAACCCTAGAAAATTTTAGAAACCAATTGTGGTGTGGATCAGTTCACTCCAACACCTAACCCTCTCACATCAACAAAACTTCACAGGAAAGATAACACCACACGGTGCTGTCAACAAATAGAATATTATGCATCAATTTTCTGTGTTGTATGCAACTTATGCTGCTCTTTTTACATCTGTTCTTATCAACTTTCATCAACGGCAGCCGGCAAAGTCCAAGGTGTGCTTTTCAAGCTTTCATCAAATGTTAGACAGGTTTTGGTGGTGAAGTTAAATCTAACTTTTCGCTGAGTAAAGAAGTGACCAATCTGCAAGTGAAGGTTGTCATCTGGGTCAGCAGAAAGTAAATATACTCACCAAACAATTCCCTGTGCTCCGGATCCAATGGGTCTTAGGTTCTGGTAGCGCTTTAAAACTGTAAAAGTTGAATCGCCCACATCTATACTGTAGTACTCCCTTTCACGCTTGTTTCGGTTCATGGTGAAGTCTTGGACAAAATCGGTGACTGGGCATCCAAATGGAGCTCGCCTCTCAAGACCTGCAAAGTATTAACAGGAGATCAGACTATAGAGATTTCTAGAACACGTTTCAATCAAGAAACACTATAGCTGTGTGTTACAGCACACCCTCTTTATGTTTAAAGCCCAGTGTAAAATCAGTGAGCCATAAACAGTTGTCCCCAGGCAAAGTATACGAACAGGTCCTACCAGCATCCAAGTTGCCGTTTGTTATCTCTGCCAATAACTATTTTTCCACCGTCCTTTTTTGGCATATTTACAATTTGTGCATAAAAATGTGAATGACAAAGCAGAAAAGTGTTGAAAATGCATCTCCGTGTGTCTGTAAATGCTACAATTGACAGACTAAGCAGATAAATCATCGAGTAAATGATACACACTGTACTGTGCTGAGACTGGAGGAACAAATCTATCAGATCTGAGCAAAGACCACCCTCACTGACTCATTACATCAAACAAAACAGAAAAGCTACATTTTCAACAGTGTTTTTCTCAAGGCTTTCCTGTTCAGGAAATGCAAGTAAACAAGTTCTAAAAACTGGAGTTTCTTCAGTCACCATGTGGGACTAGTTCCAAAAGTCCATACCCCCAGATCAACTGCACAGCACATAAACAAATAGATTTGGCTTTAAAGGCACAGCGACAGTCTGCTCTTAAGTTTCTCTGGCGCTCAAAATTACACAGGTTACTAACCAAGCTAGGTAGCAGGAACGTATATTAGTTGATCACTCCTCTGTGGTACCCTTTCTTCCAGTTGACAGTCACATAATCCTCTTTTTCAGTAGTACCTACTCTGATCGACTCGGCACGGTTCGCCACGGTTTTCAGTATTTTCCCATAAGGTCATGGTACCTGGTATCAGGTACTTTTTTAGTACCTGCTCGACCCGGATGCCAAGCGATCCGTGCAGGTACTAAAATGTGACGTCGCCACACCGCAGTAGCATCACTGAATGAGTCATGAGAGTGTCTCGTTCACAAAAATTGAAGCCACCGAACCCCCCCCAAAAAGAAACAAAACAAAATGGCTGTGTTCCCCGCGTCTCACAAAAAGCCACATGTCCACCTTTGTTGTAGCGTTCATGTCGCAAATTAATTACATCGCTGGATGCCCAGACGTGTTGCTATGATGACAAGCATGCACACTGGGTTGTGAACCAGTCGATCCGAGTCCGAGTAAGTATTAATGGAAAAGGGGCAATACTGTTTTGAAAGAAATAAAAAAAAACAAAGGTTCAAAACTAATGAGTGATGTGACAGTGGCTAGGTCCATCTTTTATCTACAGTTTATAGTTTTCTTATAGAAAAGAACACTGCACAGAATTTAAAACGGATATTTGAAGAATTTCTGTTGAAGCACTCAGGAAAGTATTTCCATACACTATCCCACAATACAGGCCGTCTGACACAGTTTATTATCTCACAATGGCTACTAGTTAATTCAATCAAACAAGCCAGGAGGAAGCAGTTATCTTATCGGTTACATTTAATCAAATGTTCACAGTGTTACCATTATGTATGACCCTTTCATAATGAATATTTAGGATCATTATCTGTACCAAACAAAATCAGATTTATTTCTTGAAAATAATTGACTTGTAGTGATCAGGTCTACGACAAAACATAATGGTACAAATCCTGTCTTGCTTTCTTCCGCTTCTTCCCCCCCCATTCAAACCCGGAAGAACTCATTAATCTCAGAAATATCAAACCAGCCGTGTCTTGAATCCTAAAGGAAGCTTCATCAACTGTAATGACAACTAAGCCTCTGCAATCCAACTTATAGCCCAGAGGACCTGCGCACACATATATAAATTCCAAAGGTCAGGGCGACGGGAGCAGTGATCAAGGCACAGAGGAAGAAGGAAGCCGGGTTTCGTGCAGGAGATGAAGATGACAAATCATTAGTGGAATTTGGAGCATTGTGCTGAGGAGGTTGGCTGTGTAGTGATAGCTGTACGTTCCACGGGTCATTCCCTGAACTGGATTTCTCCAGCTACTGCAGGCAGACCACACCCCACCCTCTTCCTTTTTAGTATCAGTCAGCCCACCAACCTCCTCTACTCGGTTTGATACACAGAAATTAAGAACTTATTATCTAGGATAGCTTTCAAAGAAATATGACTATTAACAAAATCCTATTAAACAAAGCACTCTGTTAGTAAGAGTAGTACAACAACAAATACCGTTTTGGTATGGAAGATATTATTTGGGAAAAAACACCTTTATAACAGCAGTGGAGTCATCTTAAATTCTGTGATTACTTACTAAGATTAATCTAGAAAGCAAGTGACCGATACCAGTGCCAGCTTTTAAACCTGGGGGTAGTGTGCCTGTGTTGCTCTATCCTTTCACTGCTGAAGCATTAGTTAGTGGTGGGGTCTCTCTCTTGGAATTGAATCATTCTGTTCCAGTCAATTTGAAAAATGGCAGCAGAGGCATAAGTAGCAGAAACAGCAGTACCAAACAGATGTGGTATGGCTGTGATGACTCGATATGTAGTATATCTAAGAAGGTGTGTATGAGGATACAGCACAGTCTAGGATTTCAGAAGGGTCAAGTACCTATGGCACATTTAATGCATAAGTATAAAACCCAGAACAGTCAAACAAACAGTGATTACTGCTGCTGCCCCTCCACGTGACCAACACAGGTGCATTTCAAAGAACAGAAGAAAACACAGCCAACTGCTGAGGGCTAGAACATTCAGCTTTATCTCATTTTCTTCACTTTTGCTTCAACGCTGCTTTGAAGGACTGAAGTCAAGAACACCTCAGTTAAACCTGAGTCACATCTGAGACGCAGTGCAGAAAGGAACTGAGTCACTGCGCTTGCCCAATAGTGACGGGTGTGAAAGCACCCAATACGTACTGAGATTGGATCTGTTAGACCACATTCTGAAGTGGTCTACGTCACACAGGGTCACATTCTTTTTGCTGCGTTTCTTCAAACGCGGCGGTAGTCACGTCAAATAATGTGCCTCCTGCCACATTTTTAAAAATACACTATTTGTTTTGCTTATAGCTGTTGGCTCTAATTCCAAGTATCAAAAATGAGATGCGCGTCTGTTTGAAGACGTATCTTTTGAGTATTAATTAAAACTAGCAAACCCGAATTACAAGAAACCAACAGATTCATTCAGAAATGGATGTTTATACTGGCTCACATGCCACCTTGCTCTAAACACAGCTCTGCCTGCGCTGCTTGTGTTTTGTCTTTTCTGCTTCTCCTCATCTGTGCCCTCTCCTCTCCTGCTGCATTATTCTCTTTGACTCTGATCAGAACATCTCTCTTCCCCATTGCAGAACCTTGTCAAAATTCGGCATCCAAGCCGGACGGAGAAGAGGTACAGGGATGAATACAGAGCACAACTTACAACAACCCTGAATACAAGCAAGAAGTGTGCTGCTGGATGTTTAACAAAAAGACACACAGTGTATACAACAAAGGGTACACAACAAAACAGCAGGAGAAACAATAATAAATGTGCTAGCTGCTAAATTCAATAACAGTCTTCATGCATTTTTAATCAGAGTTTACCTACACAGGCTCTCTGGATTGGCATTTCAGCTGAAGGAAAATGCAACATTTTGCTGTGTTAATGTGACGTAATAGTATCCAACTGTGCACTCAATGTCCCTCATACATTAAACCTGCAGCCATCCTTCCCTTAAACTCCAACCAGCTCTTCTACGGTGCTTCAACCGACACTAGTCTGAGCCTTACAGCCCTTATGGTGCCTTTCCAATGTGCAAGCTGATTCCACAGGCGCTAATGCAGCCCATACCATCAGTGATGCAGGCGTTTGAATTGAGTGCAGATAAGAAGCCCAATGGTCCCTGTCTTTTTCAGTCCACAGACTAAACCAAATGAAACCAAACGCACCTTTTAACTCGTGTGTCTTTGAACCACACAGTCAGATTGTTTTGGTTATTCTTGTGTTTAGGATCTCTCTCTTTGCACTGGTCTCTTTGGCTCAACTACATGCTGGATTGGGTTCATAACCCTCTTTGGCTCTCGGAAGAGGTGGACGCATCTTTCTCCCTCTCCCTCCCTTATCTTCCCTGCTGCTGCTTCTATGTGTTTGTCTAGTCTCGTCTAACTCTAACCCTCAAAGGTTTCCCAGTCTTGTTCTCTAAAACCTAAAGAATTATGGATTTGATCAACTGCTCCTGTAATGGAATTGACACCCTGCTAGGCTTGGGAGAGCCCGATTGTCCTGTGGAGACGTTTGCTGCCGGATACTCGATGGTCGGTTGCGTCGTGTGTCTGGCGACACTCTCGATGGAGGACAATGAACGACATCTACCAATTTGGAACCACGATAACAGAGTTCGGGCTGATTGGAGCTGGCTTATCGAAGAACAAGAAGCGGCTACAGGTGTTCAAAATCCCATAAGTCTGGCAGACATGATAGACGAT